ATAACAAATATGCATTTCGTATTAACTAAATATGCATCATAAATTACCTAAATATTTATAAAAAATTAACTAAATATGCATCATAAATTACCTATATGAAATGCACATTTTATTGCATACTTTTCGCTGCATATTTAGTTCATTCATGATGCATATTTAGTTCATAACAGGTACATACTTAGTTGATATTATTGGTGCATATTTAGTTCATAAGGACTGCATGTGCAATTCATATCACATGCATATTTAGTTCATATTGAATGCATGGTGCTGGATGCATATTTACTTCATACATATGATGCATATTAGGGGTCAACGGGTCAACGCCGAAAGTCAATGGTCAACGCCGGAAGTCAACGGTCAACGTCGAAAGTCAACGATTTTTCGCCGGAAGTCAAATGTCAACGCCGGAGTAAACTAATATTTTTTTATTATTTAATTATTATATATTTTAAGGAGTGGACTCATTTTAAGGAGTATACTCATTTTAAAAAGTGTACTCATTAGATCCTCCCCTTTATATATATAATAAAATTTATTTATAATAAAATAAAATGATACTTCTATACATAATATATTATCAATGTCGTAATTTGTATATTAAGTATTTTGTATTCAATAGCTATATATATGATTTGTTTTTATTTCACTTATTTAGTTTTTATATTTTATTTAATTTTTTAAAAATATATAAATATTATTTATTTAAATAAATTCTTATTTTCAATTTGTAATAAATATTTTAGATACTTATTATTTATCAGTTTATTTATGTTAAATTCTTGTAATGTTAAAAGATAAAAGATGTTATTTATAATTCAAAAAACTTTAATTAAAATATCTAATATCCTTTGTTGTGAGGTCTCAATAAACTTCACCAAAGCGGATTCACCTGATTCAACAAGAGCCCTGCCTCTTTCCTATGATTGATTAGGATTAGCCCTAATCGAATGAGTGGCTACACGCCCCCTTCCCAAGGTTATGAAACAATGTATAAAAAATCAGTTATTTGGTTTATTTTAAAATATGAATATATATATATATATATGTATATATATATATATATATAAACATGAATAAAAAATTTATTCTTATTTATAAATTAGAATATCATTTTTAGATATTGTATTATTTATAATTTTGAATATATTTTACTTCATTATTATATCATTTATAATATAGAAACTATTTACTTAATCATTATATTATTTATAATTTAAAATATATTTACTTATTATTATATTGTTTCTAATTTAGAATCTAATTTATTCATTTATTATAAATTATATATACCAAATTATTATATTACTTAAAATTTATAATTATCATTATATTATTTATAATTTTGAATATATATAATTAGTTATTATGTTATTTACAATTTATAATTATCATTACACTTGAGAAAATAATTTATTCAATTATTATATTATTTATAATTTAGAATCTATTTATTAAGTTACTGTACAACCTATTTACTAAATTATTATATTGTTTATAATTTATAATTTATTTTCTTAATTATTTTATCATTTGTAATTTAGAATACATTTAGTGAATCATTATATTATTTGTAATACAAAACCTATTTATTCAATCATTATATTATTTATAATTTAGAGTATGTTTATTTAATCATTGTATTATTTATATATAGAATCTATTTACCAAATTATTATGTTATTTAGAAACTATAATCTCGTTGTGTAATTTCTATATTATTTGTAATTTAAAAATCTATTTACTTAATTATTATATTATTTATAACTAAATAATATTTAATTATAACAATATTTATAATCTATACACTTAATTATTATTTATTTTATAATTTAGAATCTACATACTTAATTATCATATTATTTTCATTATATTTTATTCTTAGATCACTTGGAAATGCTAGACATAAGTTAACATAAAGAACCTTTAATCTTGTAGGGTATAATTTGATTTTACATTTCTATAACAGATGTGTACACATGCCACACCTCTGCCACACTGGCCGGTCCGGTTTTCAGAAGATTGGTTAAACTTGAGTTGAATTTGAAAGAAAAGGGTCTAAGTATCTTTTCAGGACTGCGAACTGCCGCCCAGAACCAAGCTCTTCAATGCTGGCATTAAACCCTGGAGGAGTTCTCTCTTGCTCAGAATTCTGTCTGATGTACAATCTTCTTCCTATAAAAATGGGCAGCAACAAGATAAACAACTAAAATGCATATATTTTTGGACAACTCAAAACATCGGTTGGCTTCCAATATTAACCAAAATCTAACACATCTCAATGAATATGAAACTATAAAACCCAACTCACATCTCCGGTTCCCGCAGCAATTAGAGAGAGAAGGGTTACTGCAGCACTTTGATAATCTGCTAAAGTTTTGAATGCATAATCATCCAGTTTATCCTATAAAATACAAAATAAGGAAGTTGTCAGATTTTAACCACAGTGAAAATATCACGCTTTTCTACGACAAAATTCTAGTAACAGCACAGGAGTAAATGCAAACACTACACACACACACACACACACACTAGAAAGAGAGGATCCAATATGAACCACTCTTATAGTGAGGACGTAGGGACGAAATTTAACCATGGATTGTTAAGTATAGATGATTCAAATTAACACTTTAAACATGGACTAGGTTCTTAATTGGAGGCAATAATGTAAAGTAAAAAGTGTTAACTGCGTTGAATCAAATTTATACACTTAGTTACACTAACATGTTCAATGTTTAAACAAAGTACATATGAAAAAAATGAAAAGTAAACATGAAGTTAGTCTTTTATAAATGTGAATAGAATGTGAGTCAAGTATGCGCTTAAGAAACATCCAAGTAAGCATTTTGTTGTAACTAAAGGTGCATTTCATATTAATTATGTATGCATTTAGCAACACTAAAATATATATTTCGTAAAAACTAGGCAAGGTCCTATTTGAAATTGCATTATTTTGAAATTCAGTTTGGATAGAGATGCATTATTGAATATGTAAATGCGCATCAATAAACTTCTAAACAGGCAGTATATTAAATTGTTAATGCACCTTTAGAAGGGCTATAATGCAAAATTTAATTTTTGTTTCTCGATTTAGAATATTTTTATTGGTCATTTAATCACCAATAGTCCCAATAGTTTTAATACATACTAGTGCAGTACTCGTGCGATGCACAGGCTAGTATTACCAAGGTTAGCATTTAAATTTGAATGACTGGATGATAGACCATGTATTGGAATAAAACTAAATGTAATTTATATATTATTAAGCACATCCTTGTACACAACGTCTAGATAGGCTTAAATAAATCAATTAATATATTTAGCAGGATATACATGATATTATTTATACCGGTTTTTTGAAGATTGCATAAACAAATATAACAGAGATTGTAAAACGTCTTTCTTAAAAAATTATACTATTATTATTTTAAAATTGTAAATTACTTAATTAAAGGAAAGGAAAAATTGTGTACGTGTATGCATTAGATTTCAAATTTGTATTATGAAGGATTAAACAAAACCTAAATCTTTACAATGTTCCAATCTGATTTCATTTTGAATTTCAAATTAATATTACTTGACTCTGTTTTATGATTAAAAAAATCCAAACTAAAGAAAGTAGTAGCCGAATGATAAGATATTTTTAATTTTAATTTTTAATTTGAAATCGGGTCCCATTTCTATGCAATCCCCATGATCCGCTGCAATTAGGTAACGCTGCAATTAGATAAAGATACATGTTATAGTATTTTGATAATATCAAAATTCTCGATTTTATGGTAAACAGATTTTTTTAACAAAATATGAGAAAATTTGGACATTTACAAAATTGTCAAGCCGAATTTTTACCTAAATTAACTCGATTTTTATGTAATCTGATTTGTTTAATAAACAATTCTGTTGCAATTAGGAAAAGTTATATGTGACAATATTTGCCTAATTCAAAATTCTTGATTTTATGATAATCATTTTATTTAATAAAAAATGAGAGAATTTTGACTTTTGCAAAATTGTAAGCATCAGTCGAAATTTATCTAAATTAAATACACAAAACCCATGAATTTAGGATGCATATATAGCTCATCTATTTTTTTAGAATAATTTAAGAAAAAAATTCAAAAAACTACCGAAAGTAGAATGCAATAAATACTGGTTGACTTTTCTTGTTACTATTTTTCGTAAATAGGTTCTCTCTCTCTCTCTCATATATATAAATAGATATAGATTTAGAAAAGCATAAATGCATTATGCATATATCTTTTGAATGATTAGAATTTGGTCGCTTTCCTATTTTAAGAAGTGGATTCCATTTATATATATAGCTGGAAAGAGTTATGGTTTAGTGTTTGCAAATGCCAAATGTTTTGCTTCATTAAATCACAGACGAAAAGAAAGCACGGAAAAGGTATGTTAAAGTATCGTCTTATACTTACATTATGACATGAACACAACTAGAATACTTTTACTACTTTTACAACTAAACAGAATACACTAATATTCAACACCCACCCCCCACCCTACAGAAAAAGCAGCTCTGACAGCTGCTATAGTAATGACATGGCTGCAGTTTCAGGGTTTTTTTCTTCCTCAAAACCCTAGCTTGGATTAATTCTGCTTTGCCTCTGTTCTTTCTTAGATAACAAGTGGGGAATTTAAAACTACCAAAAAGTGTTGTAACTTCTGAAATGTCCTAACAAAGAAATGGCTATTGTTTCCAATGGAGATATGTACAAATGCAATACACATCCCAGAAGCCTAAACTTCCAAATGGATATGATAAGATTACACAGTTGACCATAAGTTCAAAGCAACTTTGTAGTTCCTAATAGAAGAAAGCAACTGCTCTATAAGAAACTGTGACATGCCACCATAATCTTATTAGTCCTTCCAGATTTGACCATTTTCTTAGTACAATTACAATGAGTAAAGGTCATCTGAAGAGTTGAAGGAAAATATTGAGGACATATGAAACTACAACGAATACTGTAGTGATCCATACAGTCACGTAACTGTCATCATAAGGGTAACCTAAAGTGAATCTACTTTCTACTAGACACCCTAATGACAAAGAGCATCAAACTATGGAAGCCAGTACAATGAGAAAAGATTTTGCCACATTAATCTGGTTGAAGCATGGAATTTATCAACATCCCATATTAGATACCTATAAGTCCGAGTTCGATGCTAATGGATACAGAGATGAAAAAACTGAATTAAGACCAACCATATCCATCAACTTTGCACGACTCAGTTGAAATGACATACTTAGGCAGCGAATAATACAACAACAACAACAACAACAACAAGCCTTTTAAATCCCACCAAGTGAGGTCGGCTATATGGATCACATGTCGCCATCGTGCTCGATTAAAACACATATCCTCATTCAACTTTAGATACTTCTAATTTTTTATTGTTTCCTTCCAAGTTTTTTTAGGTCAATTCCTCTCCCTTTTAATTTGTGTTCTTAATTCTAATATTTCTACCCTTCTCACCGGGTCTCGAAGTCTCTCCCATGTCCAAGCCATCTTAATCTGATTCTCTCATTTTATCCTCTATGGGCAATACCCCACGTTTATTTCTAAAACTTTCATTTCTAATTTTATCTAACCTAGTATCCAGTACCCTACCTTTATTTCTAAAGCTTTCATTACTAATTTTATCTACCTAGCATACCTATATACATCATTCTAAACATTCTCATCTTTGCCACTTGCATTTTTGCATTTTTTGATCATTTTCATATATATTAGCCCAACACTCGAATCCATAAAGCATTGTCGGTCGAATGATCATTCCATAGAACTTGCCTTTCAAACTAATTGTATCAGAAAGTATCGACGACGCGCTCATCCACTTGTTCCATCCAATTAATTTTATGCCGCACATCCTTATCTATGTTGCCATAATGAATGTATCCTAAATATTTAGAACTTCTAGATGTGTTCAATTTGTGTCCCCCAGTTTCAACTTTTATCCATTATTACTCCTTTGAATACTAAAATTACACTCCATATTATTTCATTTTGGCTCTCTACTTATTTTGAAACCCTTAAATTCATGCGTCTCTCTCCAAGTTTCTAACTTAGCATTTACTCCCTCTCTTGTCTCATCTACTAGCGCATTCTCATCCGCAAACAACATGCAATCGGTGACATCCAATTGCAAATGTTTCGTAAATTCATCAATTACTAATGCAAAAAGATACATACTCAACTTCGAACTTTTATGCAAATCAATAGTGATAGGGAAGTCACCCGATATCCTTACCAGTGTCCTAACATAAGATTTCACATTATTATGCACATCTTTTATGGTTTATAGATAACCAACTCGCACCTCCCCTCCTTCTAACACTCTCCACATTATACCACCATTAGCACTCATATATTTTTCAAGGTCAATAAAGATCATATGCAAGTTTTTTTATTTTTTAAATTAAAATGCTCACAAAGTCTCCTTATTACATAAATAGCTTCCATTGTTGATCTTTCCAGCAAAAAGCCAAATTGGTTTCTATTATGTTTGTTTCTTGTCTTAGTCTAGCTTCTACTACTCTCCCATAATTTCATTGTGTAACACATTAGTTTTATGCCATGTAGTTTGCACAATTTTGTATACCTCCTTTATTTTGAACAAAAGTATTAATGTACTTTTCCTCCATTAGTTAAATGGACGTTTTCTTACTCTTCAAGATTATGTTAAACAAGTTGGTAAGTCATTCAATTCCAAATTTACCAAAGCATCTTCATCTTCATGCCTCTATTGGCATATCATCCGGACCTACAGCTTTGTCATTTTTCATTTTTTTGCATTGTCTTCTCTACTTCTTTGGTTTGGATTTTCTATTTTTCACTTTCCTCTAATTTCCCTAGCGATATTTCTATTATCTACTTCATTAATAGGTTATGAAAATAATATTTCCACCGATCCTTTATCTCTTTATCATCAACTAATACCTTTCCATTTTCATCTTATATGAATTTAATTTCCGTTCAGCCCTTTGTCTTCTTTGCCCTTTGCTTTGTAATTTTATAGATGTATTTTCTTCCTCCATAGTATTTAATCTCTTATAAATGCTTTTGAAGGCTTTTATCTTTGCTTCACTTACCAACTTTTTCACTTATTTTTTAGCATTTTTAATATTTTCTCTGTTTTCATCACTCCTAGACTTGCATAACGATTTATAACACGTCTTTTTCTCCTTAACCTTTCCATAAATAAATTGATTCCACCACCACGATTCTTTAGTACACTTACCACCTCTAGAAACCCCTAATTCTCTTTAACAATTGATTTTATCTCTTTAATTCTTTAAAACTTTCTCCCATGTTTTATTTGCTTCTTTTTCCATACTCCAGTTAACGGTTTCAAGTAAAGTAATAGTAAATCTGCCCCTTTTACCTTTTTTATTAAAGTTAGTCAACCACTTCATCTATCTTAGGTATATTAGGTATTTTCTTACCTTGACTACATTTAATTCTTATATCCATGACTAGTAACCTATGTTAGGCAGCGAACAATAATACTATGAAATCCTTTGTCGCTAAGGAACCAAGTATAGAAGTGACCTTTAACCGAGAAATTGCAACTGAAATAGCCCTGCCAGGAGCCTGAAGGGCCTTTCCATGTATCTGTAAGGAAAATATCCGATTTAGGGGAACTAAAAGAGATGTCAACTCTACCTGATAGTAACATTATTGTGCACAAAGGTTACCTGGACATATAGCAATGAAACAACTTTTGGCAAAAGGGCGACAGGGTCAGTTTCAGCAGAAACTTGAGTTGTCAAATCCTGCAAAATCTCAAATACAGATTATACGGGTGAAAAAATAAAATCTATGTTCCTGTTCTATAAGATCAACAGTGTTCTATAACATCAACAACACATCAAATAAGTACACAAAAAAACTACGTAACATAAATGTTAAAATCGTATATTTATTCCTTTAAAATACACTTATCAAATGCTCAGGCCTCCAATCTCAGAAAAAACTGACGTATATACACATAAAACTTCGAAAAAAAAAAACATGTAGGTACTCAAAAAAATCTTAACAAAATTGATAGATTGCATACCTTTCTATATGAATGCAGAAGAGTCCTCTCTAACTTCTTATCCAGTTTTTTAGGAATTAATCCACTGTAAAAGATGCGTAAAAGAATATAAATATTTATTCTATTGTACAGATCTCATCAATCACAAATAAATAAATGATTCCTCTACCTTTCTTCGGTTAGGTCTCTTACTGATCTTACAAATAACTCCACCCGCTGCCATTATAAAAGTTAATGAACCAAGTTTGTTATGACAATCGCATGAACTGATAGCATAAGTAATCTATGGAGCATAACATGTCCGCAAGGATTGGACAAGGAATCTGCACGAACCTTCCCTTCCAAAGATTCAACCAACGCAACAGCTTTGACTGACAAAGATCCAGGCAAACCCTTTGCCTAGGAAGAACATGGAATTTATAAGTCTAGAGTTAAAATGAGGAAAAAACAGTGTACCAGAGCATCTCTGAGAAGTAACAAAATCCTACCAGCATAATTCTATCCGCTGAGCTCAATAAACCAGTTTCAAGATCTTGCGATTCCTCAGGTTGAATTCCGTTCTTCAATTTGTTGTGCATGTCCTATGTGCATAACTCGGAATATCAGACCCACAGCAACAATCAGTAATGTCCAAAACATTAGAAATGTTGGGAATAATTCGCATAATTACCAGGTTAACTAAAAAATTTTCCACAATAGGGGTGCCTGAAGTTCGCAACAAGTGTTTATGTAAAAGAACCTATTAGGCAAATGAAATAACTTGTTAGGTACTAAGACAGAAGAGCGCTAAAATGGAAATTGGGTAAATACTTACAGCAGTTGACTGGTCATCTTCAAACAAATCTAGGGCCTTTTCATATAGTTGAAAATTTAAGAATGCCTGGGCCAAATGATATAATGATCAATAGGAGTATGTACAGTGCCAATATTCATGAGCATATATACAGTTCCATCAGAATAAAGGAAACACGTAAGAAATAGCTGTGCGCTATATAAATTGGCAACATTCATCTGTAGATTGAAAACATTAAGACACAGGATATGGTTAAAACTGGAAGATTAAGTGCCATGCTCCTCAATTTAGACACTTTTACATACAACAAAAATATTTGCATGTCCCGAGCTCAAGAAAGAAAAAAAAAAAAAAGTATCTGTCGTTACCTCATCAAGCTTCCGTTGTAAATCATCAAGCACCCGTTTCATTTTCTGAGCATTCTCGGTAAAAGCAGCCTTTCTTCTTTCCATCCATGAATTGATGAGCATCGGTCTCAAATAATTCACCAGAGGAGCAAGAACGGTCTCAGGATCATCCATACCTATGCAATAAAGGTCCTTACAAATATTAGATACAAACAGAAAAGAAAACAAATTAACAGGAAATTTAGAATACATTTTCCACATCAAACCTTGATCTTCTAGGTCAGGGATTAAAGACATTATTCTCTGAACTAATGATTCCTCTGATAGAAAGCTAGGGTTATCTAATCTATTGGCATCCCTTTTAGCACCCGGCTTTGAATCTGAAACCTCTGTAGTTGGAATAACTTTCCCTTTCTTCTGCCGTTTCTTGGACTTAGTAGCAGTAGATTCTTGGAACTCAGGAACACTTTCACTTCCAGCTTTAGCACTCCCAATTGCTTTTCCTTTTTTCTTCCTGGATCCTTTCTCTGAAACTGATTTGTCAATGCCACTTTGATTGTCATTTTCTTGTGGTTCAGTCAAACCGCCACTAGTAACAAGTCCCTGTCTGGCATCTTTTATGGCATGTGAATCATCAAACGACCCAGAAGCAGTTAGTCCTGTAACAGATAAGTTATCCAGCTCTTTCTCAATGCTTTCAAACAAACCCTGCCATAATCCAGAAGAAAAATTTAAAAAACAATAGTCTGATTTCCTCATTAATTTGAAACAACTTAAAGTTACGACATTTCCATGCACCAACACTACAAGATCTAGATTATTTATCTTCTAAATGAATACACCACTGGAAAAAAAAAAATAATAAGGACTATTAAATGCGGCATCAGGGTTATGAGTGGCGGATGGCAGAAATGGCAGCAGTCTGAAATCCCGCATGGCAGTTAGGCAGAAATCTGCCATGGCGGAGGAAATTCGATAGCACTGTGCTGCAGCATTTAAGTGTTTCTAGCTATTTGGCAACATTTCCAAAGATGATGTCCAAGATAACAGGTTTGGAACACGTTGGATTTTGCTTCCTTGTTTTGCATTTGAATATCTTGTGTTACTGACAGGCCTATAAGATACTCTATGGTGATACACAGATACTGGGTCTTAAACATGAGTTATGAAACAGGGAACAACAATCCTCGTACAACTGTGATATTTTAACCTCAATGTTCAAAATAAGGGTAAAGCAGAGACAGTAAAGAAATTATGAATATGACATCGATACAAAAAGTCAACAGATTACAATTTTTAAGACAATGCTTCGCTCTAGACGAACTATTAGATTAATTTCACAATGTTTACCACATTTCTCAAAAGTAATGCTTAATGAAGTCGTGTATCTTGAGACCAATATATCATAATTAACCTACATAAAAATTAAGAATACACGTTGCCGCTTCAGACCCTTGCTTTCTCGGGCAATGATATTAGAATATAATACTATGTGTGAGTTGTCCCACATAGTTTATACAGAGAATATAAGTCTAGTGGGTTGCTCCTCCTTTCAGCAATTCGTTTTAGGATGGAACCTCACTATGGTTCATCTAGGCTCACTCATTCCCCCCGTTTCTTACATGATATCAGAACCGGCTTACGTGGGTCCTGACGATGACGTACCCATTATTGGGCTTGGGCTTCGTATGAAAGACTCACAAGTGAGGGGGGGTATTAGAATATAATACCACTTGTGAGTTGTCTCACATCGTTTACACATGGAATATAAGCCTAGTGAGCTACTCTCCTTTCACCAATTGGTTTTAGAATGGACCGCATCTAAGCTCACTCATTTCCCCCGTTTCTTACAAATGAACCCACCCGACTACGCCGAGAAAAAAGGTACAATGTTAGCTTCACATACTATGGCTCACACATAGCTAGTAAACAAGTGAATTATAAAATAGTCTCCCAGCAGCTACTTCATGGGAATAGTAAAGAAAAATATAAGACAAAAGCAAGGACAAGTAAATAAACACAAAATTAAAGAAAGCGAATTAACCTAATATCATGCAGCATTTAGGACAATAGATATGCCGGACACAGTAGTGTAAATTAAGTCGATACTATCAGACAATAATCAAGCAAAAAGTTTTCCTTTCCCTCTAACAAGTTAAACTTAGATTCATCAGACAGCAAATAAGAAGTTTACAACGTTTACCTTCACAAATGTATCACTAAATATGTAGAATTCCCCCAGCATATGTGCTTTGCTAGACTGAAAGAGAACACACATTAATAAGAAACATATAAGGCGAATTACCTGTGATGAGTAGCATAAAGTTATGTCAAATGGATAGGTTATCAGTCACCTTTATATCTCTCTGAACAGATGGACAAAAGGAAAGGATCTTAGATGCATCTTGGGACGCAAAGGACGTGGGCAAAATTGTAAGTGAATCTATCCTGCATTCAAAAGAAAATAAAACTATGTTTTGAGCAGGCAACTCATACAGGATCAGAGCAACCACGGGGAAAATATAAAAACATCACGGTCAAGTAAAATGTACCCAGAGCTGAAAATGGTTCTACTCAGACAATTACTCAACGAATTGTTTGCTTTTCTTTAAGCAATACATAGCATAGTAAACACTGGACTAAACAAAGTTGAAATCATGAAATTGGTCATTAATACACTACTGCACAATATATATATATATATTATTGTAAAGAATTATATTATAATGTATTGACACAGCTATATAGTATTTCATTCATTTTGACAATGGAGAAATTATTTGTTCCTCGCCAGGTGATTATTTAAGTGTATCAGCATTTATTATGCATTTCCTCCGAAAAGTTAGTCCAACATTTGCAGAAGTCTCTAACTGAAGCTGTTCCTTGCTGCAAGTCAAAAGTCTAATCAGCAGTTACACCCTACCTTAACACTATATCTCAGCCACGAGATAGAAAATCAAAACTCCACTAATAAAGCTTCTTTCATCTACATAGGTACTTGACCTGAATATAACAAGAACGCTATTCTCTCAAATATGTGTTGACAATAATTGTTTTATAAATTGAAAATTGTCACATTCAAATTAAGCACACGTAGTGTTGAATTAATTCCCTCCCACTAATTCAATTTTTGGATCTACAGAAGGATTAGCTGCAATTTATGAGATCAATTTCGATGCTTTAGCTCAACTGTAGCAGTCTAGCCTAGTTGATTCATGATGCCTAGGGTACGATTGGTTATAAAATAAATCGGTTCTTTCTGGTCAGATAATTTTTTTACATTTTTTTAACTCCAAATCCAACTCAAATTTAGTGTAACTCAACTCTCTTCAATATTATCAATATAATTAGATAATACCAACCAATTATCCTCACAATTTTAACTATCATTTCCAACTTCTCTCATACTTATACATCACATTAACTTAAATCATTACAATTTCAAATATTATTTAAATGCTCTTTTAAAAATTAACAAACTTTATCCAATAAATCCAATCAAAACTAAAATTTTTTATAACCAATCACCAATCTAGTTCCTCAAAATTAGCAAAATAATTTACTCTCCGGTTACGAATGAAGTAGCAGTCTAGCATAGCTGATTTATGACGCTGAGTTCCTCAAAGATAGGAAACCAATTTACTTTGGTTGTGAATGAAAGGATATAAAGCCAATGATACATTGAATTTAAGGGCTCTGATGGTGCTATTGCTACATATCCAAAAAAGCATAGAAGATGAATTTTGAAAAAAGAACCAATTTCCAAGACCTTGCATTGTTCAAACATCAAATTTAAAATCATGTATCTGCTCAATGCAACACCACTATTTGTTAAATGCACAAGGGATAACACGGAATGTACAACACTACCGGTAGCTTTTATGTTCTAACAGACGAACTAAAGAAGTTTGTTGCTGGTATCATTTTGAATACCTTCACAGAAGTGCAAATAATAGTGAAAGGATTGTGCATTTAGTTTTACCAGCTACCACGCTCTATGGCATCCTCCACAGCAGCATCCAGCATCTCAATAAGTGAACCATGAACAAAGGCATTGGCAAGAGGTTTACCTTCAGGATATCTGGACTAAATTCATTATGCACATGTAAAAAACTAGTCAGTCAACTACGAATTTCTTTTTTATTAATACATCAAGTGATTTGGTTCGGGCAGTGGAATACAGTTTAATTCAATTGTATCACTCAAAATTGGAGGAGAAAACGAACAAATCCGAATAGATTAAGATACCTGCAAAAACTGAATAGGTTGTGGAATTCCAAGTTTGTGGAGCATTTCATAACTTATGAAGGAATTCTGCAGCAGAAAAAGTAAATTGTGAAAATCTTCTCAAGTGTTCACCTTTAAACTTAAGATAAGTACAAATAATTTTGGTTTGGGGCTTTAAGGAAGAAAATTGACCATTTATACATCTATTTTGATGCCATTGTTTTAAATTTGCCCGCGTCCACCTACGTCAAAGGTAAATGTTTACATTGTTGCATTATATTTCATATGGAGGTCACTCGCTCAGGTAACGAGTTTTTTTTTCCTTTTCTTTAATATATATATATATATGTGTGTGCTCATATCATTTGCATTTTCAGAGTTCTGGAGTTATCTATCATTGTTGGTGCTAATGTATGCTATAAAATCTAGAGCTTGAGAATTCCCCATTGCAATCTTTAATCAGGAAATATAGTTCCTTCAATTCTTATCATACAGCTCCTATGTGGATCACGGTTGACGGTTCAGAATAGTCACATCTTAGTGTGTCCCCATGTACTCAGTTTGATAGAATGAAAAAACAAATGATCCCGTAACTATTCAACTAGCATAAGTGAATCTCGGGGGGGAAATGGAAAGACCTTGCATTCTCCATGGGACATACTCCCACACAAGCTTAAAACCGATAACCCAGTAAAACATTGTCTCAACAGAATAAGACAGGCATTAAATAGTGAAATAACCATAATTCTAATGAACCTGTCAACCTGTCCACACTTAGACTAACTTAACAAAAGAAAGCGATAATAAAACAAAAATAAGGGACCAATCAGAGGAAGCAACTAAATGCTGTTTAATATAATTAACATTTAGCACGGGTACTTTAGGAACTCTGGCAAAGTTATACTAAGAACTGATGGCATGTGTGTAACTATACCATTGAAAGTGGAGACAACTGAGTGATTCATTACACATGCTAGCTTCTTATATATCTTAGTGAAAATATCAATCCAAACGGATACAGAATCAACGTAAATACAAAATAAGCATGCAGAAGTACCTCAAAATAGTGGATTTTCATAACATGGCAAAGTACTGATCCTTTCTTTATATATCATTGAAAACTAGGAGTTAAAAGACACCAAACATCAGTTCCTACCGGTAGCTAAACTAAGAAACTGATACTCAATCATCTTAAGTGAATTGTGGAAGAAGTTTAAGCTTATTTTATTGTCATATATGGTTTATTCTGTACACTATCTCCAATTTATCTTAAACAGTGGCCTCCCTACATTTATCACTTTTAGTGCTACAAAAAGCTATTCCTCCACTAGTTAAATGGTTCCGGATTACAGTAAAAGGGCAGATTCAATGAAAAAAAAATAAACGATCACTGGTTACTGAATTTACAATATATTTAAAAAGACTAAGGGGAAAATATGCACCTCGGAAATAAGTATACAAAGAGAAACTACTTACAATCAGGCTAACATTATCAATGCAACAAAACATAGAAGAAACAAAGAAGGTTTTGCACCTGTGAAAAGAAGGAATCCACACACTCTTTCTGTGCCATGGCAAAGACCTGACATATCACATACAACAGAAGCAATATGTTTATAAAACACAGAAAACAAAGGGCAACAATTCGTTTACTTCAAAAGATCAGTGCACAGGGATAGGAATTACATCACATAATCAGAATATATAAAACAGCCCATACTCAAGTTTTAATACAATTTTAAATATATTATTCAGAATAAAATATATACATACGGAAGGTGTCCAGTGCACTCCAGCACGAAGCGACCCAAGGATCTCGGATTCCTTAACCAAACCATTAAACAGTGACTGGAATAAGGAATTCTCAACTGCCACGCCACTGAAACCATCCATATCTTGCAATAATGCCTGCAATGAGCTCCACAAAGCTGACAAATTCATAGGAACAGCAATCCCTCTTGCTGCACCACGAACCATTGCACTAACACGCGCAACATGTGCAGGCGTATACAATTGCCCGCCTTCGAGCCTTCCCTTTACCTATCCGAACATCAACGATAGAAATCACCACAAAGTCCCAAGTATCTTTTTAAATAAGCTGAAAGTTCAAGCACCAATAGACATATTACCAGAGTCCCAAGGCGGGGTTCCAGGACAGAAATGACCAGTTCCGAGCCCACCTGCAGCTGCGCGGCGATTTCTGCCAACGAAATTTGACTGCATTCCTGGAGCCTTTCGTTAATTTCCTCAGAAACAGTGTCCCAATAGGAATTCGAGATTATTTCACCGTTAATTAACATAAGCGAGGAGTCACTTGACACCACGTGCAGCGATTGTTTCTCGACATGGTATAAATCCACCCCCGTGGCATCTGCCAAGTCAATCAGCGATACTCGGCCTCGCCTATCAATCTCAGAAACTATTTCGCTCCTTAATTGCTCCTACCAACGACATAATCCCCACATGCATCGATAAATTGATCGATTTTTCAAAAATAAAAAGAGAAAATGAAAAAAAAAAGGAGAAATCAAATTGATCGGCAGATTCTGCTTACAGGGGTAATGTATTCTTTCCCGGAGGTGGTGTGCAGGAGATCGAAGTCGATGATTTGGAGTTGCTGGAGCTTCTGGATCAACTCGACCACGTTTCTTTCGGACAAGCGGATGCTGGATTTCGCCTGCTGTGCGGACTCGAACTGCCTCTGCAGTTCCAGCAGTTCCTCATCCATGGGCGACGGCGGCGGAAGTTTGGCTGCGGTGATCGCAGAGGTGCGGTAGACCCGATGATGGTATAAATGTCCTGGAGGGAATGGGCATCAATTCGCTTTCGATAAGAAACAATTTTACTTTACCAAATTCTTGTATAAATAATCCTTAAAACCTTTTCTTCAAACATTATTTTAAGAATATATTAGCTTACCCCGTTTATATGTAGAAATTGTATTTATTCATGAAATTACATACACACAATCAACGAATTATCATGCATAAAGAAATTGTCAAGTTATAAAAACAATAAAATTTTACTTTAGGTTTGTTGATAGCCGAGTTGGCCTGGATTGAACCGGATACTCAACCTCTCAGGACCGAGCTGAAGACCCGGTCTGGTGAAGAGGTGCCGAGCTGAACCGAGGATTAAAGATGTGCAGAACCGCCATAGGAACGTTCTCCCAACCCGGCACCTAGCTCAGTCCGGACAAAGGCCGGTCTGGAGGGGTGCTGGACAGAAAGAAGACTATTCGCAGTCTCGTGAACACTTTCGGATGAGGTGCCGGCCTGAAAATCCGAGGAGGCCGACCAGAGGGAAAGCGCAGGCTTCGATGAGCATTAAAATATTCCCACTTGGGAGGCCATCATTGGACGATGGGACAAGTAATCATGGCCTAGCACCCTACCAGTAAGCCTAAGTCAATAAAGCCTACCAGCATTAAATGCCCCCCATGCTGGTATTTAATGTCTGACAGGTAATGATTGAAGAAACCTCAAATCGCATTAAATACATGTCAGATGGAGGCCGGACTGCTCTTCAAAGTCATTGTGCGACAAGACCGGTGAACAGTAGCTGAATAGTGCCACATTAAAGACTACTATAAATAGCAGCTCATTTCATTTATTTTAGGTTGTTGAAATTCAACTAACTATGTCTTCTCTCTCTAAAACTGTAAGAAACTCATTGTAAGGATTGTAAGTATATCGCAAGTGCCGACCTCGTACGAGAGGCCGGCTTCATGATCGCTCAATAAAATCATAATTAAACCGAGTCATCCTTTTGTTTTCAATCTTTTATTTTCGACATTTAACATCTCAACCGTTGACCGAAAACGCTCGTCAACAGTTTGGCGCTAGAGGAAGGGCACCATAAGTTACTTGGTGTCAATTGTTCGATCTTGTGAAGCCCCATATTCACTCGCCCTTGCTTACCTCGAATCCCGTTCAAGATGACTTCATCCAATCACGACGAGTCAACCCAGCAGTCCGACGCTCAGCCTCGCCGGCACAACGGCGAAGAAACCTCTCGCCGCAACCAGCAAGGGACTCAAGCCCCTGTCCCTCCTGTTCCGACTTTTGCTGCTGCCATGCAGCATCCCGACGTCCTCAAAGCCCTGGAAAGAGTCTTCGCCAAGGCCCTCGCAAGCCAAGCACCCGGGGGGAACACCGTGGCAGCCACGGACAACCCCGTCAACACTCTGCTCCAGACCCCCGACAAGGAAGCCGGGGGGCAGCAGAAAAAAAACCCGCCAAATCCAAGACGACAGCTCAATCACCCAATCGCACCGCCCAAGCCCGGCGCGAGAAAAACGCCAGGCCGGCGCCTACCGAGCAGATTGGCGAAAGCCAGCCAGACCAGAGCCTCCAGGTCATACGTCGCTCCGTGTATCAGCGCCTGGGTGACAAAACCCAGGCCAACGGCGACCTCAGGGACGTGATTGAGCGACGCAAAAACATTGGGCGCGACGCGGACGAAGTCGCGGCCCTCAAGCGCAGAATCGTCGAACTGGAAGGTCGGCGCTCTCCCCGGGGAGGTACATCGCCACCCCACTACTCACAACCCATTCCCCGGATCGTGGATCATGCCTCCCCCCTCTCTCCTGACATCCTGCGCGAGCCCGTGCCTCAGAAAATCAAGGTGCCACAGCTCGGACTTTATGATTGGAACTCGGACCCCGACTCCCACATCGGCCTTTACACTTCCTGGATGGATTTGCACGGCGCGACGGATGCCTTACGCTGTCGCATGTTCTCCCTGACCCTAGGACCAAAGGCGCAGAGGTGGTATCATTCCTTGTATCCGCACTCTATCTGCACTTGGGGCCAGCTCAGGTCGGCGTTCCGATCACACTTCATCGGATCACAAATCAGCCTGGCTCCCAAGGAATCAATCGCCAACATCGTCCAGGAAGAGGACGAGAGCCTGAAGGACTACATCACCCGGTTTAACGACCGAGTTCAAAATATGGAACAGTGCCATCCCGAGACCCTACTCGTCTCCGTACAGGCCGGGCTAAAGCCGAAAAC